AATGGAATTATTTTTTTCTAATTATTTATTAATTATTCTCTCTTATATTTTAAGTTGCAATTAAGATTAAAAGTTTTGAGAAGTGACAGAAATTTGACTTGATCTGGTGAATCCGTTCTAATACTTTTTGATTTATTATTATTATGGGGATATTTATTTGCTTTTTATTTTGGATATTTTTCTATTTGGTCGGGTTCATAAAAATAAAAGTAAACATATATATATATATATATCATATCATACATAAAATAAAATTATTATTGTTAATGTATAATTTTAATAATTTGTAGCATGTACCAATGGATATTGACAAATATGGACAGAGATACGACAAACGGACTCAAACAAAAGACGACAAATTCAGGTGAAAACTTTTATGGTGAGTATTTATTCTAACTTCTAATTAAAAAATAGCATCATCGTCATTAACTAGTATCCTACTTATTAAAGGCTGGCACAAAACGTTAATTTCAGTATATATTTTGATGAAATTTAATTGCATCAACCCTATGTATGTTCGACTGCAGAGCACGAATCTCCCCTGTTAATTATCTCCCTAACCTTATGTATAAAATAAAATATTTATTGTAATTTCACGTTACTTTTTAGGCTATGGTAGTTAATGCAACCAGAAAAGTCCCAAGTTATGCAGACAAGTGAAGTTACAGCAAAGGAAAATAAAGATACTCAGTCAGAAGTGCCGCAGACTGAAGCATAAGGTGCTGACTTTCCAAACGACTATTGACGATTTGAAGAAACATAATTTAGTTCAGTTAGTTAATTAATTTAGTCAATTACTTAATTTAGTTTCATGGAAAAAAAAACACTCAGAAAATATATCAAAGCGCAATATTTTAACAAAATTAATATTATTCCGCCATGAATAAACGATTTTAATCAATATACTAATTGTTTTTTTTTTTTTAATTTTATTTAACTATTTATGACAATAACCTATTTTATGTTACAATGTTGATGGCAATTACCACTTTTAATTTACATTAGGTTTACATTAATTTGAAACCTACTAGTGGTGACAAATGAGAATTAATAGAAAGGTGTGAAAGTTAATAACATTTTTGCGTGTCATCGATATCAATATGGGTATAAATATATCGATATCAATATGGATTTAATAAAACAACACTATTTGCTGTGGGCGAAGTCGACGCCATTTTAGAGAAACATTTGGCTTCAGCACACGTGACCTAACGTGACATCCTCTTATATTCTTTTATCAATGGTTCAACGTGTGGAATTGGAAGAGAACCGAAACAACGGTGGCCGCGCCACCGTTGTTTCGGTGGCCATCGCGTTCGAATTAATTTTTACAAATTAATATTTACAAATATCCTACTTCAACCAACAAATTAAGACAACAGTCCTTTTTATTAATATATTCTACACCACTGATATTAATTTCATTAAGATTTGTTCATTCATTACATCTATTTTTTTATTTGAATTTCACGTTTAGAGGTAGGTTCGTGTTTTTTTTCTAACGAGAAAATATATCGAGAATATGTTATGAAAACAATGGTCCATTAGAATGTAAGATCAAGATTAACATACTTATATTTTTTTTGCTTCTATAAAATGTATAGATTTTGTTAAAAAATCTTTTGAAAACCCTATTTTTACTGCATATAGCGCCTTAAGTTTCTTTAAGTACAATTTGCTGATAGTTTTTAATGTATAAACGTAATATCCGTTGTCTCCTCACTAGGCAAGCCTGTATCGAGGAGGGTCATATTGCTTTTCCGAGATTGTAACATATTATACCTTTTTCATCAAGCAGACATTGAGTTTTACTTCATATTACAGAAAACTTATAACGGTAAACATTGGTTATGTATAAAATAATGTACACTTAATGAGGAGAGTAAACAAAGAAAGTTTCTTGCTAAATAGGTGTTATGTACGCAATAATCAAGGTATCCTCGTTGGTCGTAGGACAGTGAAGCTAGCTAATCATACATAATATTCTTAAGGCGCTGTAAGCAGTGAATTTTTAACTATTTGGGTGGTGAAGTATGAGGAAGCGGAGGAGGGGTAACCCCGCTTGGCCGGGCGCAGCGCACGAGTTTCGTTAACGCGCCATGTGACCAAGTCATTTATTACCTAGTGTGTGTGTAATGGTGGGCCGTAGGATACTATCGATAATATTATGGAAGGCTATCGAAAATGTTCACTATAATATCTTTTATACACCATGATTGTATTTTACTTTTAACTTATTATAGGAATAGTAATAAACAAACAAATATAAAGCATGAGATATCAATCAACAACTTTAGAAAATCTTCCTATTAATTATTTTTAAAGTATCAGGAAACGGATTAGAATTGAATAAAAATACATCTTAAGGTCAAATAAATTAATAAAGGGAAATGACATTTCTTACAACAAAACAATAAATATACGAATAATTATTTATTTTTATTTAAAGTATCATTATCATTAATCATTGTTCATCATCATTATCATCATCATTAAGATTTGTTCATTAATTATATCTATTTTTTTATTTGAATTTCACGTTTAGAGGTAGGTTCGTGAATTTTTTCAATCGAGAAAATATATCGAGAATGTTTTGAAAACAATGCTCCATTAGAATATAAGATCAAGATTAACATTTTTTTTTTGCTGCTATAAAACGTAGATTTTGCTAAAAAAATCTTTTGAAAAACCTATTTTTACTGCATACAGCGCCTTAACCTCGTGTGATATCTTATTTTTAATGTCGCAATATTTAGCTGCTTTGTTCTGGACATAGGTTCTCGCAAAGTCACCAAAACGTTGGGCGAATAAAGTATTAACCACTGGCGTATTCAAGCTGTGATATATTCAACTCAATAAATGTTCGTAGCTACTAGGAGAAGATAAAATGGAACGGTGCATCAAGTGTTGTTCGACTTGTGTTTATCACTCGGTTCTACCTATCGCATAAGTTCGAGGTGTTACTGTTCATATATTATTATATTGTTGGTTTAATATATCTTTACAAAGACCAATAAAATATAACTAATCTGGCAGTCATCGTGCGCAACTACAACGCTGGTGTACCCGAAACAATATAAATATGTTTTATTGCTTACCAGATCGTGATCTTTACCTTTAATTTATTATAAGTTATTTAAGCTGAAATGAAATTCTTTGGAATTCAGTAGAACTTCATGATGCATTTTTCAAAACACAATTTTTTCGGGATTATTTAAGATAATTAATAGAAATAAAATATGCAATTAAGAAATAATGTTTATTCAAATTGCTTAAACACATAGCGGACACTGGAATGTCTTATAAAAAAGTGTAATAATAAAAGCAACATAGATAAAAAAGAAGATATTTGGAATCCAAATTAGGAAATTCGTAATTAAAACTCTACTGGCTTCTTCAGGCGGACCACATGCTGACAGAATTAATTTTCGTTGATGGTGTTAAACAAATCAATAACGATCGAAATCAATAACAGTTTCTTACAGCTTAATTCGGAATAAGAAATTTTTCGCACAGCAAATTTGTGAAAGTGTCCAGATTTACGAAACCAATTATTGTCAAGCTCACATCCTTGCGTTTTAATTCATTCCAAATGTTATAAACCTACGCCAGTTTTCTATTTTTAAACAATTTATATTCATTGCAGTTTTATCAAAATGTTTTATTGAGTAAGAAAACAAATGAAGAAGAGCCTCAAGCCTGTTATTAAATGTCTTTACATAAATTCACATATTATATTCAGTTAACGTAACGCGTATAATTTTGATTTAAATATCAGATGTTTCGAACAGTATCCATGGATACTTGAAGACGATTCGAATAGTATTCAACTAGGTGGAACGAGGCGGTTTTACATCTCAGGCTTATCTGAGTTGACGTCTTTTCATAGTTCATTTAGACCTCCTTTTCGAAACCTCAAAAACCAGATAAAATGTATACTCCTTTAAATCCCTAAAAGTAATTTTATCAAACAATGTGGCGGTTGTTGTGTGAATACAAAAAATGTTATATGCCAATTACAAATATTTGTTTAACATAAATCAGGTCCGCTGGGCTGTGTCTAACATTTAACATAAGTAGAGTCTTATATCTCTTAAATCTTAAAAAAAAGTAATATCACAGAAATTTTTCATAACGACAATAACATATACACCGACAAGAAGTGGAAAAAGACTAACAAATAATACAAATTTTATTCACTATAAAAGTGACATTTGTAACGAAATGTTAAAGTAGTAATTAACATAATAAAATTTCACATGAGTTTTAACTAAAATTTACAAAAATAAACTGTTTTCGTTAAGAACATACGTAAGTGGAACATACGTAAGACGTCTTAACATACGCACGTCAAAATGTTACTGGAACCATGGTTTAACAGTTTTGATGTAGATGATACAATAGTGCCTTTGGGTATATCACTTAACTGCAAATTATTCTACTGACGGTATATAACTTAATACTAGTTTTAATAATATAATACATTACAAATAGTATCAAGAATAACAGTCGATCATAAGGATGAAGTTTTTGATACTGGTATCACATATCCAAATACCTGAATCAAAACTGCGGATTTAGTATACTGGCTACGCAACAGCCTTCAGTGTTGCACGAATGGGCAGGCTCGTCCGGGGAAAAACCATGACCTTAGAATTACGTGAAATGGATGTTTTGTATACTTCTGCGTCTCGTCTAATGACTGAGGTAACCGGGGCCCACTTTATTAAAAGGTACATCACAAACCTACGGGTGTTGCAGATGTCCATGAGCGGTGGTTATCACATAATATCATGTGGATCGCCAGCTCGATTGCCATCCTCTCACACATATGAGTACGACAAAAAGATCTTAAAGCTTATATCACCAATAACATTCACACACCAAAATTACCTGTAGACATTTAAGTGAATCTCAGCATCTTTACAGATTAGGATACGTAATGTCTTCACTACCATCAATAACATTACTACTGTTTCGCTGTTTTCAATGCATTTTCAATCCAATTCTATAATAATTGGGTCTTCTGTCGTAAGTCGCTCAGTTTTCATATCAGTAATAATTTCCATGGCAGGTTCATTTTCAACATCATCACTCGTCGTTTTATTGCTAGCAAACGTTTTACACTGGGTCTCAAGTATTTCCTCCACTTCTGTGGCAGTCATTTCAAGAGTTCCTTGCTCGGAACCAATATCATCACAGACTTTGTCATCATTTAATACCGTTTTGTTCTCAGTCTTAAACAGATCAACATTTTTCATCGACTTTTTTGTAACTGCCACAGCTTTTTTTTTTGCCTTTTTTTTCTTATTTCTACCTATCTTTTTGGTCTTAACATCAAGGGTGACACCAAAACTCTTAGAAGTGGGTACAACAGTTGTAAATTCTTGCTCACTATTGTTGTCCATTATATTTTCTTCGTTAATTATTTTTGACACTCCGGTACCCTCTTCGACTTCCATGCACACTTCTAATGCAAATTCAGAGGTTTCTGGTTTAATACAACTCTCATTATTTTTGAGCTTCTTACCGGGAATTACTACATTGTTTTTATGTTCTAAGCCCCCACTTGTTAAAACCTTAAAAGAAAGTGACGTATAAACTCAAAAACTTCAAAAATTGTAAAGTAAATGATCATTTTGAAATTATAAGAAAGTTTCTACTATTTCAACCACTACAAGAATATGTACCTTAAAACGGACTTCACATAAAATTGTTTGTTAGTATGAAAAAAAATGTAACGTTATATAAATGTTAAACTTATTTCTCATATCGCTACTAGTATAGACGGTTATAAGACAATTCGTAATGTAACTATGTTTGACCCAATAAAATAACAAATGCTAAATCTAATGGTAATAATAATCAGTTGATTAACATGCTGCAAGCATCTGCGCCAATATATTTTATGTTTGACATAAAATATGTATACACAGTCATCTTATTCCAACATTTCTCATGTTATTGTGAAATAGTACCCGTGTCTGATGACTTTGTTTTTATGTGAAAAGTTGCCAAACGAACAAATGCTTCACCTGATGGTAAGTGAATACCGCCGGACATCTGCTACACCCGAGGGTTACAGATGCGTTGACAACATTTTGAAAATTGGGCACCGGCTACCACACTCATCAGACGAAACGCGAAAGTATTTGTCATACTTCCACTTTGCTTTGTTATGCTGGTCTTCTGTGAGGTCGTGGTACTTACCCGGATGGGCCTGCCCATTCGTGCAACAGCCGAGGCTGCTGCGTGGCCCTACCACCGTAGCTGCGTGGCCCTACCACCGACTTTAATGAATCACTATTAATTGATTCATTTGTCACATGCAAGAATATCAAGAGTCAGAAAAGATGTTTTTATTATTTGGGCATTTTAAATTGAGGCTACTCTTGCTATACGAGATCCCATACCTGTCATGAAAAAGATTAGAAGCATTTGTGTACGCTAAAGCATTTCATTGTGCGTCGCTATTTTATTTACTTATATCATGGAATTAATACAAGCATGCATACTTGTATCACGTATTAGTCTAAACGTGTATACTTACGAAATCGCACTTTAAATCCTCTAGGCGTAGTTGACATTTTGTACCTAGCTCCTCTTCCTTTTCAATTACTCGCCACTTCATTGTAATATTTTTAGGCACGTAAACTTTTCGAGAGAATACTCTGAAATCAGAGATGTATTTTTATATTGACAAAAGCGTTTCCAGATATAATTGAGGTTCAGATAGTATTACATATAAAATAATAAATCTCTGCTTAATTGCAAAATTTCATTTCTCCTTTAAGCTTCCGTATCCAAAGGGTAAAAGGACTATTATGTACCTATTACTAAGACAACGCTGTCGGTCTGTCTGTCTGTCCGTCCGTCTGTCACCAGGCTGCCTGTATCTCATGAACGTGATAGTTAGAAAATTGTAATTTTCACAAATGATGTGTTTCTATACATACTAAAAAAGGGAATATAAAAATATTTAAGTGGGGCTTCCATACAACAGTCATGATTTTTTGCTGTTTCTATACATAATCGACGACCCGAATGGCGTTGTGGGTAGTGTACCTGCCTCCTGCGCCAGAGGGTGTGGGTTCGATCCCCACTACTGGATAAATATTGTGTGATGAACATAGTATTTTTCTAGTGTCTGGGTGTTAATATATGTATAATATGTATTTATTTACAAAATAAAAGTATGTTTAAGTATGTTTATCATTTTTCTAGTACCCATAGTACAAGCTTTGCTTAGTTTGGGACTAGAAAATGTTGTGTAAAATGTGTCCTAAAATATTTATTAAATATTATTATTATTAAATAATGGTACGGATTCTTCGTGCGCGAGTCAGATTCGTACTTGGCCGGATTTTTTCTACTTTTATAGCAATAACGCAAAACTTTACACAAATAGGTGGTTGGTTTATTTTTAATTAAATATATATTATAAACCTGATTTTTTTTGGGCTATAAAAAGTAAAAAAGAAATAATCTTATTAAAAATGTCTTAAATTATAAAGTTCCTTATTTTAAAAATATTTCCTTACAATTTTAAATAATACTTACTGATTTATTTTATTAAATGCTTCCATCTCTTCATAATAATCAGAAAAAGCGAAACCCGGGAATTCAAAGCTCAATTTATTTTCATTGTTTCTTCGTCCCGATATCCAGCCTATGCTTTTAATATTTACACATATAATCCACACATTTTTCAAAACGCTACTGCTAGACTTATCACCACAATAATCATCTTCATCGTCAGATATGACATACACATCAGAAGCTGGTGCGTCACAAATTAAAGACGAATCAATAAATTGTTCAACATCCAATCTAGTTTCTTCATTACGTTGTTTTACTGAAGAAGTTTCGGTGGTATTTTCATTATCGAAAGGTTGAATTATGTGAAAAAATTTTTTTGCTAATCTTTCATTAATTTCTTCTGGTTTTAAAACAAACATGCCACTTACAGATTTTCGTTTATTAGACGTTGTCTCAGAACTATTGCTACATAGAGAGGCAATATTAGGAAATTTTATTTGTGGCGCGATTTCAGCCACTGGTTTATTAAATAGAGTTTTATTATTTATTTTACAGTTTCTTAGCTGTGTCATCTCTATTGTTTTAATAGGAAAATTATTCAATGAACCTGAACCCAAAGAAGCACTGTTACCACGGCCTGACAGATTATTAGTTTGCTGTAAGCACTTTCTAAATGACAGTTGTTTTAAAAAACTTTGTGGTACAAGGTGATAAAAACCGTTTGCCTTACGTATTTTTATAGGTTTAATTATTTTAATCTTCTTATCAACATCATCCGAATGCTTCACAGGACTTCTACTTTCATCGTTTAAATCTGTGTTTTCCAATGATGACGAAAGGTCTATCTTTTTATTCAAATCTGAATCAGTGTCACCATCAAGTGTTACGGTACTCTCTCTATCTTTTGCATCACCATCAAGCGTTATAGCACTATCCCTATCTTTTTTAATTAAAGGCATAAATGAAAGGGGATTGTCGATCAATTTCGGGTTATCAATTTTATTAATAGTTATCCATAAACCTCTTGTTTTCTTATCTAAGCCTTCGAGGGAGTTCCTTACTGTCTCTATCCCCAAAGGTTCCTCCTTTTCGTAAGGACCAATGAATACAGAATTTTCATTTGTATCGGGTGTAGCATATATACCAAATTGGGGACCATTACTAATATCAATGCATCGTTGTGAAGAGAGCCTAACAGTTTTACCAACCTTTCTAGCAACGTTTATCGACTTTATTATGCTATCGTATTTTACAAAGAAACCTCTCTTGTAAAATTGAATTTCATTGAAATCGTTTTCTAACGTCATCACAAACCATTTAGATAGTTCGGGTTTGCTATTATCTTCTAAATCAATACTAGTAATATCTTCGGAACTGTTATCACATGTTTGCTCAAAACATTTTAAATTATTAGAAGAAACATCCTTATGAAAAGTGCTCTCGTGAATAGTTTCTGAGTTGGAAGATGTTGTTTTATATTCATTGACTTTTGTTACTGATCCAATTAACTCCCAACAATGAGACAATCCGTATAATATGCAAAAATTGTCTTTTAAATCTTTAGCGTTTTGTCTAAGATTACGAACCATAACTGGATATTCACCGAGGCTGGATTCTGGAATATGAGCCACGTTAATGCACCGATCAAAAAATGGATGCCGCGAATCTACAGCCATAAAAATACGAAAGGGTTTTTGTATTGAAATTAAAAACAAATTTTTTCGTTCTTGATATCGACTCAATATAAAATTCCACGGATATAGCGCTATTTTCTCAGATCTTGGAGGACTCAACGATGTTTTCAAATCGCCTGTGTCTATTTTCTCTTTATATTTCTTATAACTAGTTTCAAGCCACTGCACCAATTTTGTTACGTCGAATAGGTGCTTTTTTTCCGTCTTATCCATCTGTTTTGATGTCATGTTTTCATTTTCGAAATTTATATCATCCATAAGGCTTTGTTGTTCATCGAGCATGTTATTCAGCAAACCATCTAATCTAAAGGGTGAATTAGCCACATCAATGATATTATTTTCTTTTTGTTTATTTTCCTCTGATCCACTTACTAAAGCCATCATTTTAGAATGAAGTTTTGTATCATTTTTTTCCATTTCAAAAATTTTTTCGTTCATTGTTTGATAGTACTCATTGCTATAGTTTCTACCTTTATATGGTAAAACTCTTGCACATAAACGATCGAAGGATTCATCCTCACTATCAATAATTATAGTTTTAATATCACTTTTGGTACGTTCTTTATTTTCAGGCTTGATTGGTTTTTCGACAACATCTTGAAGTTTATCTTGAACTTTATCTCTAATAGCGTTATTTTGGGCTGTTTCGGCATTTTGGAAACCATAAATAAAACTTTGTGTAAATTTACCTTTACAAAAACATCTATACAAATTGTGGATCATGCACCATGGCTCAATATTTTCACATTTTAATTTTGTGGTTATAATCACTGGAAACTTTTGGTTCTTTATTTCAGTACGTAAGGGCAAGCTACTGTAAAAATCAGCATATTTTTTTGACGTTTTCCAGTTTCTTCTTCTTGATTTTAGTAATATACTTTTATCTTCAGTCACAATTACAGTTTGATGAAATTTTTGCTCTTCTTTTGACAGCTTATTGTTTATCTTTTTATCTAAGTTAAACAATCCCGGAATAAATTCGGAACAATCACTTTCCAAAGAATTCGTAATTCTAAATTTTGAAAAATCACAATTACAACTAAACATACAATCTATTCGGCCACAATGGTCTTTAATTTTATATTCACATTCTAGAGAGTCACATATACAACCTAAAGAACAAAATAACTCTTGGCATGTTCCAAGATTATTTCTTTTACGGTTTTCTGATATTCTAATAATCGTCACATCAAGTCTGTCTAATTCACCATATTTTCTTTTTTTTTCCTTTTCTTTAATGTGACTGCTGGAAATGTTGCAATTAACATTATTAGAAATTTCTCTTGGTTCATCTTCGCCGGAGTACATAGAATCTTGGTTCAAATTGATTTCAACTGAATCTAACATCCTGTTGACAATATCTCTTACCTCATATGTCAATAAATCGTCATTGTACATAGTACATAGTAAATCTGTGTCTTTGTAAATAGCGTCACTATAAGCATTTTGAGCTTTATCTAGATCGTTTCGCAATAAAATTAATTTTTGGTCATATTTATAATTCAAGTTAAATGTAACGGAATTATCTGTTTCTATTTTAGCCCCATCATTTGTTACTTTGCCAAGAACTGAACCAGCAAACTCCGCCCATTTTTCAGAAATAGTACCATCTTTTTCAACCATATTTTGTAAAAACTTTGTTATTGTTGGCTCTAATGCGGTTCCATATGACGGTTGTATTTGTAGTCCGATTTTAGGTAAATTTACCAATTTCGTTTCACCAACATTATACTTCTGATAAGAGTAATCTAAATCTTTCTTTTTTCGTAACGGACCAGGTTTAAATCGTATGTTCAATGATTCACGTAATAATGACCTTTTTCTTGTTTCAAGTTTTCTTTTAGTAGTTGATGTTGTTCTTAAAGATTCTTGATCTCTATTAATGTCATAATTGCAAATAAACTTGTTTTTTCCACCTTTACTTCCAGTAATCTGAATACATTTCCCATTCCATAAAAAATATTGAGAACAATGACTGTGGCCTTCGGGATTTATATTCATTAACATTTGCCATGAAGATCTAGATAAAGGTTTGTTGGATTTCAATAAGTTAAAGGCAGTTTTTTTAGTACTTTCGTCTTTGGAATATCCATCTCTTATTTTTCTTAGCAAAAGTTTTTGTTGTTTTTCTAGTTCACATGGCAAGGATTCGAAAATATCCTTTTCATACAGGTTCCGTATGTCTCTGACAGTCATAACTTTAAGCTTACTTTTTTTCTTTGGCACATAATATTTATTACAGTTTGGCTCAAATTTACATTCGTCTTGTTCTACTTTCTTTACTGTTATCGGCTGTATTACGTCTTTCTGGATAATATCGTATAGATTGTTGTGTAATATGGAGCTATTTATAGTAATATCAGAAGCAAAAACTTTTTGATTATCACCATCCATTTCGCCCATATCTGAAATAAGCAGGAAAAGTATTTCTAGGATAATTATCTTTATTTTGCCAGTTAGAACGAATAACGTTACAATAAAACGTTTGTCTAAGAAAACATATTCAATAAAAAAAGATAAACTATGATTTTATCCTTCCATTTTGTTACGTTTATGTTAAGTCATAAAATTGCAACCAAATTTTAGGATAAAAAGAAAAAAAATACCAAGATTTAAACTATCTACATGCTGATGTATACACCAATACCGCTCGAATGATACCACAAAAAATATGGCAATACATTTACATTTAAACTCATGACGCAGAGATAAAGTATTCAAAATGGCCGAATCACATTAATTTCTATTGTTACGATAAAGAGCTATTATTAGTGCCTGAAGACAATATCGGACAGCTCCACAAACGTTCATTTCCAAATGTGTTAGGGATCACAAAATAAAGTAAACGTTATGTTTGTAAACATAATAGCAATTCACAAGTGAACAACTATCACAAACAAAATGGACGTTAAAGAACAATCGTTATTAATCGTGTTTCATCACGTTTTAGAATCTATGTAATGCTATAACTTTTTTTTAGTCTTACAAGGACAACAGCAATTAAAATGCCGTCTAATGTAATTTAACATAATTATCTAAAGGAACCATGATTTAAAAATTTTATCCAGCAAAAATACAAACAACTTACCAAACCAATGACATTAACTCTTTCGATGTTGCCATAAATAATGAGGTTCTTAAAGGCATAAACGGTATGTTTCACTGTATACCGTTTAATTTTTTCATAAGAGAATAAAACATTTGTAGATGAAGCACAATTTTATTAACAAAAAAGACATGCAGCTAATGACGTCTTATAAAGGTGTGCATTGATATGCTTAGCAGATAGTTAATTATATCGTAGTTGAAATCATATGAATTAAAAAATCAAAAATAAAAACCTTGAAATTACA